AATTTAATTTATTAAGCTGAATTATTAAATTAATAGAAGATTCATTTACGAGTTTGAAATGAATTACGGCAACGAAGGTAACAGATTGGCGTGTGTTATCGTACCATTCAAAACCATAACTGCCATTAAATGTTCTGGAAGCACAGTCTTGTTAAAGGTAGATGTTCAACCTTTAACTTACATAGGTAGCAAACAACAAGGCAATGGAGTAATCGGAGCTGTTAACGTCTATGACAAGACCCAATTGGTAGACATTAGTCATGGAGAAATACAGAAGAACCCTTTGCACAAAGTGAGTCCTTCAGAATTATACTTTATCAAAGATATTTTCTTTGTTTTATTTTTTATTTTGTTTTTTCTTACTTGTAGTTGACGTTAAGAAAATATCAAGCAGATAAAATGAAACTGTATTTGTGGCACTTTGATGTAAGATTCAAAATTTTAACTCAGTTGAACTTCTCGGAAGACGAAGAATGCGTGGAGCTTCCACCGCCAGAAATTGAGAAAGTGTCTCCAGTACAGAAGCAGAAGAAGAAAGGCAGGACATTTTAAATACATTTTTTCAGAAAAGTTTATTTTCAAGAAGTTATTTATGATTCTGTTTTATATATCTAGGATTAATTCAACCGTTTTTCTTACTTGATAAGTCGAATGACATTGATGCTGCCGTTTTGCTGACCACTCCCGTTGTTTGCGCTTGTCGAACGAGTTGCAAGTCCATAAAATGCTCGTGCGTTAAAGCCACGAGGAAGTGCAACAGTGGTCGATCAGTATGTCTCTGCAGCAACTGCGACAATCCTTTAAATATTTTGGACGAAATGGGCATCGATCCCGTATGTGCCGTTCTCGACATGTGTTTACTACAGAATATATACAAAGTAAAATCTTTTTAAAATGAAACTATGCGAGAATTAGAGGGAGGTTTCTGACTTAATATAAGAGTGTTTGTTTTTTTTCGTTTGTAGTTGCCAAGCCTACGGATATATTTAATTAAGACCGTTAAATTGGGTTGTTGTAAATCTGAATACCCAATTAAAAGTTGCATTCCGGGAGCGGTGAAGTGCCCAAATTCCAAGTGCGATTCCAATATACAATATTCGTGGTGTAGAGGTTTGATTACGAGTGATAGAAAACCCAGAAATCATTGTAGTTTTTGTGGACAGTGTAATTTTTGGGAGAAGCGTCATTGCCTGGTAAGCTTTTCTGTGTATTGTTTTTTTTATAAATATTTCTAAAAACTCTCTTTTTTTCCAGGAATGCAATAAGTGTCACAGCACGTCGGAGTTTTCCAAGTGCCCGAATTGCACATCTTCCAGTTCCTAGATGACACTTTTAACGCAACTTATAAAAATATATATATATTTTTAAAATATATAACATTATTTTTTGGCATCAAAACGAGTTTTGCTTTAACAAAATAATTTACATAAATAAAAATAATTTAATCATCGATCGTTATGATGTACTGTTATTTAGATATAAAAACTATAAAAGTTGGTATTACTTTTGTATTTTATTTTTATTGATTCCAAATAAAAATATTACTAAACTGGTATCCAGAAGTTAAGCATAGTTTAAGGAAAGTCGAATTGAGAAAAAGTTAGAGGGCATGGAAGGATAGCAGATGTTCATCTGCTATCCTATCGCTCCTCAAACTCCCTGAAATATATATCATCACGTCACGAGACCAAGAAGAATTTGCATATCGGCCGAATCAAAGATGAGCATTAACAATTTGTCATTGCTCAATCACAAGAAGCATGGTGCAAAGTTTCTTGTGGTAGAATATAATTTTAGAAACACCTGTCATAAAGACAAAATTATTTTTCCTGTGTGTTGTTGCACTATTGGAATGCCGAATGAAGCTGGGTACAAGTTACGTTGCAGAACTGAGTGAACCTGTCTCTAGGACGAAGATACCAGGGCCATCAGTATTCAGTAAGAAATATAATTGGCTAGGAGAGCAGAGCTAGGAAATGTTCTGTATATCATAATTTTATCGTAATATTATCATAACTACAGCCCTTCCAACAATAATAGAACATACAGTGATTGCCTAGAAATTCTATTTTCATGTAATTTTGATGAAATTTTTTAGTGCGTTTGATAGCAAAATATCAACAATTATTGCATAAGTCGGAAAAAATTAATTAACAAAAGAGTTAGATGATGATATCAAAAATAGGGTGTCCAACATTAATAGAATATATACTGATTAAAATTAATTACGAAGAAAGTAATGATTTGTATTTTTATGCAAATTTCGTGGATTCCAATCAACATGTGAAAAGAAAGGTTTAGTAAATTGCATAGTACCTTACTATTAAAAATGGGATAAGAGAAGGACCTAACTTTAGAGAAGATCAAAACTGATGTTTCACCAGGAAGGGAGAAAAGTAACTTGGATTGCTAAATATTTGGGAAGACTTCATTCAACAGTCTCAAAGTATCTCAATAATAATGAGCAACGAACAGGAAAACGAAACAGTGGTCGCAAGAGTTCAACAATAACTGGAGAACGATGTGCACTGCAAGGAAACACATCCGTTCAAAAAATCAAAAATGAATTGAAGCTGAGCTGCAGTAAATCAACAGTACACAATGTTTTGTGACCAACAGACAATGTTTCTTTCATCAAAATGAAGACAGGCAACCAGCTCAAGGAGAAACGCAAAAAATGCTAGATGTCGAACCATGAAACCTTCAGTGTAATAGTAATTTAAATCTTACATATTTTTTAAACTGCAATGATATTTTAACGATTTTAACTGTAAATATATAATTTTAAACGAAAAAAATATATATGTAACAACGCAACCTAAAGAAAATTCCGGATGTAATGCCGACGGATGAGGGGCCTTTGCCCGAAACGCGTATCGGCCTATGGAAGATTAATAAAGATGATGTAAAATGCCTTGTGTCTATTAATTCACCTAGTAGTAAAGAAAAAATAAACGCAAACAACTTCGATTACAGTTTGCCAGAAACAAGTTTGAAAGATAGGAAAGATGGCGGAAAGTAATTTTTTAATGAGAGAAAGTAGAATCTCGACGGACCTGATAGTTTTAAGTATTATTGGGCAGACAAAAGAGTAGATCAAAAACAGTACTCAAAGAGAGTAGCTGGTGCTGGTATACTCAAAACTTGGGCAGGGGTTGGATAGAATGGAAAGACAGATCTAGTATTTATTGAACGTCAAAACAACTCTCAAACTTATCTGGAGCTTGTCTGGAGGTAGCTCTAAACTTACGGAAAGAAAATTGCTGGACAGGACCTTGAATTAATGTAGGATAATGCAAGCTTCCATGTATCAAAATCAACGTTATCCTTTTTTCACCACAAGAAAGTCCGACTTTTGGACTGGCCACACCTCAGTGCAGATTTAAACCCAATTGAAAATATTTGGAGTTAATTGGTTTTCCAAATTATCAGTGGAAAGCAATACAAGATTGTCACTGAACTAAAGGCTGCTCTCATCGAGACATGGAAAAATATTTCGCAAGAATGACTGCAATTTTTGAT